TGGAGTGATGCACAATGAACGCGCACTTCTAATTCTGTACGAATATTTGGTTTTTCGTATAAAACCTCTTTATCGCGAAGGAATTCGGGGCCATTAACCCATAGATTGCTCTTTAACAAGTTTAAAGGCCTCATTCCTCGGGAAGCAATATCTGCAGGATTTTGATCAGATCGCACGTGACACCATTGGCTTGAATCAATTACTGATAAGATTTCAGAAACTCGGTTTGCTACGAAAACCTTCCAGCGACTCGGGTGATCACTTAGCCACGCAAGAACAACGGTAGAGTCAGTCCAATTATGCCAGTTTGATTTGTCAACGTTCAGTGCTTGTCCGATATCCGCCATTAATTTGGTTAAAAGTAGAGCTCCGCACAACTCCAATCTAGGAATAGATACTTGCTTGACAGGTGCTACCTTAGTTTTTGCTGCAAGAAGTGAAACCGTAACGTTGCCTGTGGAATCGATCACACGAAGATTTTTATTTATTTATTTATTTAACAGATACACCATTGGCTTATCACTAGACATTGTTAAATATAATACAATTGGTTTTGTTCAAAATGATTCGACTTTAAAGGTATATACAACATTCACAAAAATAGTGCAGCTAATATAAGACAGTTGTTAACTTACTTAACTAGAACAATATCATTAATAAATTTACAAGTAATTTGATTACAATGAAACTAATGCTAAACTTGAAGAAGAGAGAAAGAGTTATAAGTACTTATTACATAATCTAGCAAATTTTGATAAGTTATCCGTATGGAAAATGTCGACGTCGCCGTTGGTGGTTATGTCGTTATACGTTTACATTAACCTATTTATTGGGGCTCGTTTACCTAAATTCGTTCTCTGGTTGGGTAAACAGAAGATTTTTGTAATCGGATGTCTTGGAATAGATCTGGATCTGGATGTCTTGGACGATTGGATAGAAGATACACTACAGCTCCGTAGGCAGCTTGAGAGGCATCACAAAATCCATGAAGTTGAAGTTGGGCATCGCTTGACTTCGAACGCAACCATCTAGGAAGATTAAAATCAGATAAGTGTTCAAGATTATTCCTGTAGTTATTCCATTCCAATTTTAATTGCTCTGGCACTTCTTGGTCCCAGTCTTTCCTTCCTGTAAGCCACAGCTTTTGTATTATTATCTTCGTTAAGACTACACTAGGTGCTACCCAACCTAGCGGATCATATAGACGACAGATAATGTTCCTAGATCCGAAATAATGTTCCTTTTTGTTACAGGTTCCACAAGTTCCGGTAAAGCAACGACGTACTGAAAAGTGTCTGTGCTACGTTTCCAGGTAAGACCTAGTACCTTCGTCACTTCATTCATTTTTAAATGTAATCCATTATCCTTTTCTTTTTTTTCTTTTCCTTCTAGGTTCTCAATTTCCTGAAGAAGTTCATTATTATTACTGGTCCATTTTTGCATTTCAAACCTAGCTTCCCTTTAATATGTCACTGATATCCTTATATATTTTGACTCCATCCGCAACATTTTCACATCCCGTCATTAGATCGTCCATGTAGAAGTCATTTAGTATTTTTTGACAAGCATATTGCTTGGTACCATCCGTCACATCCCGAGCAGCCTGTTGCAATGACCTAACGGCCAGAAATGGGGCACACGCAGTACCAAATGTGACTCTTAGACGGCGGTAATCAACTAATTCCGAGGATGGATCATCCCGCCACAACAATCTTTGACTGTCAACATCTGCTAAGTTCACTTTGACCTGCCGATACATTTTTATGATATCCGCTGCTGAACTGATAGGTGATAGTCTCCAACGCAGTATAATGTGTCTTAAATCGGCTTGTAACGTTGGTCCCGTTAACAAATTATTATTAAGCGAAACTCCATACCTTCCTTTACAGGACGCGTCGAATACCACTCTTACTTTCGTAGTATCTTTATCGCTACGTACTACCGCGTGATGAGGTAAGTAGAGCGCCGTCTCTAGGTATTTTAGTGGGTCTGACACTCTCTCCATGTGTTGCAACTCCAAGTATTCGCGAGCGCAAGTTCGGAACAACAATACTGTTTATTTTCTACGGATACATAATATTATACTCAACAAAGTGTATATGTACCGTATACACTATCTGTACTATTAATATTCCTTTGAAATATTGTTAAACAACCTAAAACAACGAAAACCAATTCACGATTCTAAATAAACAAAATCCAAAATCAAAACCAGAGTCTAAATATGTATAAAGGAATACCAACCAAATCAAAAACACCGATTCAAGAAAATACACAAATTCGAAAATGAAAGCCAATATAAATCCATTCAACCTTAACCAAATCACAAAGCGAATAACAAACAACCGAAATCGAAAGCAGTTAGTCGAATAAGCTACGAAATAGAAACAATTTAAGCGTATAGGTACCGTATGCACTATAAGTTGACGCGCGGCTCAACGGCAGGAGTTAAGTACATGTCAGGAAACATTTCGTTACCGCGTTTTAAAAACCTAGTAACGACATCTAGCGGAATCAATTTAAACTATGTATACGTTAGTTAATAAGAACTATCAAAAAATAATTTTGCACAATTTTTCTTATTGTAATACCGATTCATTCATAACCACATATAAGAACTGTATTCATTTCCGTTCAATAAATATTACTAAGGCTTATTAATAAGGCTTACTAAGAACTGTTTCTACCACAGTTAAGTAATAGTTAAGGGTGAAAGCGTGACAGGTGGTGATACTATTTCTGATCCATACTTATAATCACGCCTGTAACCCTTGCGGGGTAGGCAGAGCATCAACGGATTACTTAATATCGTCTGCGAGGTTATCGCCTATTCTGTGAATTACAATGCACCAAAACGTTTGAAGAAAATCAGCTGGTGAATTTTATGTTTTTTATCGCTCTCTTCCCGGTCCTGCGTAGAAAAATACAGATCCATACATTTTTTATCTTAATTTTGGTAAAAAGACATAATAATCCAGATATTCTGACCTTCTGCGTTCCTACATCGTACCGTCGTCTGTCTTGTAGAATGACGGTGGCGCCACCTAGCTGAATTTAATTTTGCAACATATTCGATTTTCCCACGGGAATGATAATAAAAATCATGCCATGCCGACGCTCTGTTGCGACGTGAAAGAAGGACAAACTTGTGCAATGTATTCGATTTTCCCACGAGAATGAGATGTTTTTCCGCGGAAAAGAGTAGCCTATGTCACTCTACAGCCACTGAACTATCCCCATACAAAAAATCATGCCATGCCGACGCTCTGTTGCGACGTAAAAGAAGGACAAACTTTTGCAACATATTCTATTTTCCCACGGGAATGAGATGTTTTTCCGCGGAAAAAAGTAACCTATGTCACTCTACAGCCACTGAACTATCCCCATACAAAAAATCATGCCATGCCGACGCTCTGTTGCGACGTGAAAGAAGGACAAACAAACAAACAAACACACTTTCGCATTTATAATATTAGTATGGATTGCCACTGTTTAAAAACCAATGCAATGTATGTAGCATCAGATGTTGTAGCTCGGAATGAACCGAGTACGTCTATTATGTAGTCATCGCTGCTCACAATTATAAAAGGTTTTAAAAGATTCCGAAACTTGTGATGGCTGTAAGAATGGCGCTGAAATAAATATTTCATTAATATTTATTAATGAAATCTTGTGTTAAACATTCTCTCGTTATTTTTATAAGGTCTTCAAATGTTCGACGTTATATCCCAAACAATGTTGCTAACCTTTCATTGCTTTCACCAGTCCTTAATATCGTCATATAGACCCCAAGAACTCTCCGCGGATATCTGTGTCTCTCAGCTAAGCTTGGCGTTTCCAATACATACTATTAAATTCCTTAATAGTTAGTTAATTTAATTGTAATATAAAAAACAATATCTTAATATATATAAATTACGTGTCACGTTGTTTGTCCGCGATGGACTCCCGATTTTAATAAAATTTGTACACCGTGTGCAGTTTGGTCCAACTTGAGATATAGGATAGTTTTAGTGCCCACAATTTTTTTTCGATTTTTAATAGGACATGACAAATTGTCGTCGAAAGGGCAGAACAACGTCTGCCTGGCAAGTTAGTATTTTATAAAACCTTAATCCCACGCATTTAAAGTACGTCGCCTTAGTAAAAAATATCTATCCTACTAAACGCTTCAAACGACACTTATTTCAAATCTGTTGGGTAGTGGGGACGTTTCTTCTCATTGTCATTCAAGTTTTCAGAATATTTATTTTCCTCAGTGTTAAATGTCGCCATGAAAAATAGAGTTTATCAACCAACAAAATGAGCGCGTTACGATTACCCATGTTTTAATTTCATTCATTCATATAGCTTATCAAAAGTCCATTACTGAACATGAGCCTCCGTCATTATTTGTTTCATAAATTTGCCACAGTTGCAACACTTGGCAGGTTTTTTTATAGAATAATGATGACAAACGAGCGCACAATACATTTATTTTGATTAAGAATTAAAATGCAGATGCGTTTTCACCGCTAAGGACTAAAATGGAATGCCAGGTGGGTTGGGAGCCACAGGTTTTTTACCACTTTGAGTTGTTATCAGGAAGATAATGCTGCTTAAACATTTCGATCAGTCACCTCTTACGACACTCACGGGATGATATGGGTTAGTGGACACATAATATGTTATAATATCCTTGTACATTTGGGCACCCTACTAAGAGTATTTGCGGTATCATGCTATCGAAGCTCTGAATACAAGACTTAGCAACTTACTTTACGTCGAGCTTTATGCGTTAATCATGACTACCCAGTGCTTCTTGACAACACAAGAAAAGAAGCGTGAATCTGATGGTGATTTGCCGCCGACCGCTCCGCCCAGCTATCGCCCCGCCCATCTCCGTTGGGCGGTTAGAGCCAACTCTACCTGATTTCTATTCAGTTTGGAGCCAACTTCAAAGGGAGGAGGTTTAGTGTAGAGCTTTGTAATAGCATGTGCGTAAATAGTTTCTTTGTAATTTGATTGAAACTGCCAGTGACTTCGTTTCGGTACGTATTTTTTAAATTTATTATGAACTAAATAATAAATGACTTATAAACGACTTAAGTATTACTTCAAAGTAGGCGCCAAAAGAATATTAGCTATTTTAAATGATGTACACGATTTAATACATGAGCTTTTTTAATAATATAATTTAAAAAAAAAAACATAAATTATACAAGTTTACATAATTAAAATGAATGTTTTAATAATTGAGTAAGTATAAACAGGTAATAATGCTGAGAATGAATCATTTAATGACGTATAAGTATTAAATTTTCCCTGTGTACGTATACACATATATTTTTTCACTTCGTTATTATTGTCTTAAACCAGCTGTAAAGGGATAGTTTCCGTGAAAATATGAAATAATGTTCGTTGAGTAATTCCTTTGTGCCGTGTAGTGGGTGTGTAAGAGTATCCACTACACCATATCGTCGCGTGGGTATCGTAAGAGGCGACAGAGGGACATTGAAACAGCTGATGGGGAGCAGCACCTTCCTAATAACTAGATACTCAAAATAATAAAAAGAACTAGGTTGACAACCCGCTCGCCAGGCATGTCAACTATGGCAAAATCCCCCCTATGAGGTAAACTATGGGGGAGGCCTGTGTTCGGCAGTGGACTTTTGTAGACTGTGATGAATGGATAGATGGAATAATTCCTTTTGTAAAATTCAAAAGGTCGTTTTTTAAATTAAGTAATAAAATTGAAGAAATTTGCCAAAAATGAGAAGTCTAATAAGAGTATTTTTATTTTATGTTACTGCTTTTAAGAATTAGATATATAAACACAAACATTATTTGTGATATTTAATTTATATTTTTAATCTGTATGTTGGTAACGATGCAGTCCGCGTTTATCAAATTAAGATCTGAAAAAGGCAAATGCAATTATGTTTTAGCGGCAGCTGTGACACTCAAGCACTCAATTTTTTATTATAAGTTCGGACCTTAGAGTATAAATAAGCATAGCTTGCTCATAAATACTCTAACGTTCGGACATAATGCTGCGAATTAAGTAATTAAAAATCAACGAATAAGTACATATAAACTGTATGCGATTAAATTATTGTTATCTACATGTATCTTCTTCATTAAAATTTAAAGCAAATTGAAGTGACAAACATTAGTTTGACGGCTCCGTGGCGCAGTGGCTTAGCATGAGTTGCAGCGCTAAGGGCCGCGGGTTCGAATCCCGCACGGAATAAGTATTCGTATGGCCATAAAAATACAAATAATTGTTCCGGATCTGGATGTTTGTCCTAGTGAAATTTATCTGTGTAAACTGCCACCACGATACAGGAGAACATCCTAGTGTGGAGATAACATATTTTGAAGAAAGAAAAAAAAGAATTACAAGGTGGAAGGATTCCATTCCTGCTTCTGTTTAGGTACCATTCTTTTACATATTGCAGCTGCAAAATGGCTGCCAATACTTTTAGTTCGTCCTATTAGGAAGACGCCGTTGCCCATCTCCGGATTTTTGTTTCTCTCTCACGCTTGTTACGTCACCCACGGGATAATATGGGGTAGTGGATGTTCTTTAAACTTGCAACGAATAATATATTTGGTCACAGGCCGTATACCGAATATTCTGTGGGCTTCCTGGCTGAATAGCCGAATATTAGGCAAAAGTATTCGGCCCAAAAGTAGTGTTTATCAAGAGCGTCTTTTCTCTGTAGTTAGCATTGTTTACGAGAGCAAAACGAGTAAACTACTGCTTGAAAATGTAGAAACATTAGTCTTTCTGCTCCATAATCTAAAATTTTATTACGTCAATTCAAATGTATAGACATTTATTTCATAGTTTCTTCTCTTTCGTGTGACTATATACTCTAATGATGATTACAAAAAAAAAAACATTAAATTGAAATAAATCAATATATTAATTTTATCAATCATCTGAGTACAACCAAACATCTTACTCAAGTATTCGGTATTCGGCCGAATAGTAACTAGATATTCGGTTGTCGGGTTGACCGAATAGGATAAAAATAGCCGAATAGGCCGTATACCGAATACTCAATAGCCGAATATGCGTTGCAAATCTAATATTCTTACACCGCTAGTACACGGTTACACATGCAACTTATTTGGAACGGTTTACGAGAATATTAGTTAAGTTAACAGGGTGACCATTACCATTAAAGCCGATCAAAAGTCCAATTTTGGCCTGGTGGCCACGCCTGGCAAGCGTGTTGGCAACCGTTATTTGTTTTTATTATTAATCAGTTACTTGCAATTTTAAATGCTGCTTTACCATGTGCCCGTACAATATACGAAATCGTGGTGAGGAAACCTGCAAATATGAAAAATTATAAAACATTTCGAGGGAAATGTGAAGTATATAATCCAATGATCGATGCATTGGAACATCACGGTCAATTTTAGCTTGCCCTGAAATCCTCTCAAGAATGAGTTAATGTGATGGCTTTGTGAATGAATTTATTACTCATTTCATCGTGTCTACAATTGCGCCTATGGGCAAAGCCATCATCGCTTTCGAGATGTAACATTCTAAGACCGCGGTGATGGAAGCAGCTTCAAAGAAGCGATACCTACTTGTAGTCTAACAATGTGATAAATAGAAGTTGTTGGTTTCGACAATAGGACCTGTGTTACGGGCACTATTCAAGATCTGCTCTGATTTTATACAAGTTTATTATTGCAAAAATTCAGCCGCTTAATCGACGTGCGCTGTCAAGCAAATAGAAAAAAAATGGTTTCTAATAATGTAACGTATTCATTCTTATGAAATCTTTAGTGTAAATAGAAACAAACAGCAGTGATCATGGTCTGCTGACCTTAACATCGTTTTAATTCTGAAGTATTTGTATGGCCTACAAGTAATTGTTCCGGGTCTGGATGTTTGTCCTTGCGCAATTTATGTTTGTAAAAACTGCCTCCACGATACAGGAGAAAGTCCTAGTGTGGGGGTAACGTAAAAAAATAATATTAAAAAAAGATATTATTATATCCCAGGGAGAAGAAAGTCATACCGAAAACCTACACAAATAATACTTCTTATGAAAAAATAATATCTGTGAATAACTTCATTATGTATTTAGTCTTTTTATTTTAGAGTCTTAATTGAATAAGGACTGTAACTTAAAGAGACTTGACTTGACGAGATTACACTTAATTAGGTAGGTGAATAAATAAAAAGTAACAACTTGTGGAAATTATTTTTTATTATTACGTATTACTTTATTAAACTCTTTTTCGAGCTGCCATATTTCTATATACTCGAGGGTCAATCAGTTTTGGTAATAAACACTGAAAATAAAATGAGTTACCTTTTGGCTGCATTTTTTCGTCCAAAAGAAGGTCATGTAGCACCATACTACGAAAAAACAAAATTGCCAACCAGTGATATGTAATTTTCCCTGGACCCGATAATAGTAAACATGATTTCTTTTTAAAATCATCTGTCCTTCTCGTATCAAACGAAATTTGATCTTTTTTCAGTTATGGCCTCCACAGGTGGCATATTAGAAGCAGAAATAGGACATTTGACTTCAATTAGAGAGTCATCTCCGATAAGTCCATCGGGACTTGCCCCTAAATAATAATCATCTTAATCAATAAACAGTCCACACACCGAAACATTTGGATTGGTAGTTGTGGAAAATTCTAGTAAGGTCTCCGATTCGTATTGGTTTCCATATTCGGTTGCCGTATTTCCTTTGAAATGAGTATATAGTAAGGGCGCAGTTTGAAATTTATATGCAGTTAGCCTTTTTCTCCGTTCAGTGTGCCACAAATCATTGTCTCTTTGACCTCTAGTAGCCAATTCTAATTATTTTATTTTGTCCTCGTTTTTTTCTCAAACTCAAAACAACAAAAAACTCTTCTTTCTTTTCTTAAAAACATGATTGGCACTGATTTTTATGTCATTTTTGATGTTTTTAATTTTTTCTACGTCAGTGATGTTTTCGTTCTTCCAATGTTTCACAGCGCCAACTACTGCTTTTTTTATATAGAATAGGATGACAAACGAGCACACAGCCCACCTGATGGTAAGTGGTTGTTGTGACCCATAGACATCTACATCATCTATCCTCGATTACGAATCAAAATGCAGATGCGTTGTCATCCGTGAGGACTTAGGTGGAATGCCTCGTTTCCAGTAAAAAGGGTCTCCGGTTCTCTACACTCACCATACGAAACACAGCAGCATTAAGCTACTATTTGACGCTGGTATACTGTGAGAGCGTGGTCCTTCACCGGTCGAGCCGACCCATTCGTGCTACAACTATACTACTAATACGACTGCCTAGTTGGTCTAGTGGTTGTAGTAGTGCGACTGCTTATCATGAGGTCCTGGGTTCGAATCCCGGGTTGGGCCAAAAAATCAGCTATTGAGTTTTTCTGTCCAGAAATTCTCAGTAGCTGCCCGGAATCAGGAAGTTGGCGGTGTCTCAGCCCGTGTCTCGGAAAGCACGTTAAGCCGTTGGTCCTGCGCCTGATCTCTTTCCGGTTGTATCGGTTTACGGTCCCATCGGGTTATGAGAGTGAGGGAATAGAGAGTGCACCGATGGCTAGTCTCCGTTGAGGCAGGCCACCGTGACCGAAATTCGGTCTGGAGGATATATTATTATTATACTACTAATATAACTGCAGCATGGCAAGCGACGCAAAACATTGCTCACAAGTTTTAATTTAATTTTTCGTGTTTTTAAAAAAAATACTAAAAAAGGGCTCGAAATAAAAGATTTTCTCACAAAAGAACTTGAAAAAAAGTCGGGCCGAAGTCATTCGGATTCGAACCACGGATTCGGGACCGCCGATTTCTCATTTGAGCTATAGTAATCTTCGAAACACTAGAAAAATTTACCTTCGTATTCTAATAAATTAGTAATTAGAATTAGTAATACGAACAACATCTTCTAACGGACTAATATTATTACTAGACAAGTGGTAACATTGAAAATTTGTTAAACCGACTTCAATAAAACTCAATTACAACATATGACATTTAAATGTGAGACATACATTATCGAGG